TTCTATTTAATGGACACAAGATAATGTTAGAGGTTTAAAGTGATTAAACGTGCAGACTATGCAAACCAAGCTTGGTCTCTGGTGTACTACTGTTGCCCTTCCCAGGACCCTTCACTGTGGTCAGCGGGGAGGTGGGGGGGGTGGGGGGTGGGGGGGTGCTCAGTGGTGTCTTGACTGCAGACGGTCCTAAGTCAGAAGGCTTAAATGTCTCCAAGGGGGCTGGGGGCCTCCGCTGTGCTAAGCAGGTGCACCAGCCTTCCTGGGTAAGAAGTCAGCAGCTAGAGATGAGCCTAGAGGGTAGGGCAAGTGAAGTGACCTGGCCACCAGCTACAGAGCTGAGGTCTACGGGGAGCCTGAATGAACCAAGACGATTTGTGTGCTTGGTGTGTGTGTGTGTGTTGGGGGCGGGGTGTCACCTTGACACAAGCTAGTATCTGGGAAGAGAAGCTTCAGCTGAGAAATTGCCTCCATCAGATTTGGGCCTCTGGGCAAGTCTGTGGAGCATTTTCTCAATAATGACTGTGGAAAGGCCCAGGGAACCCCTGGCCAAGAGTTCTGGGGTATACATAAAAGCAAGCTGAGCAAGCCAGCAGGCAGTGCTCTCCCATGGTTTACTGGGTAAGCCCTGGCTTCCCTTAATAGTGGACTCTAGTCCATAAGTCAGATAAACCCGCTGCTTCCCAAGTTGCTTTTAATGAGGGTGTTTGTCACAGGAAATAGAGCTGGGTGTGGTGGCACTCACCTTTAATCACAGCTTGGGAGGTAGAGTCAGCCTGGTCTACAGAGAGAGAGAGAGAGAGAGAGAGAGAGAGAGAGAGAGAGAGAGAGAGATGAGGAGAGAGAGAGAGAGAGAGAGAGAGAAAGAGGGAGAGGGAGAGAGGGAGAGAGACTTAAAAAGGGGGGAGGGGCGGAGACAGAAAGAAAGCACACTAGAACTACATAGTTGACGGCCCCTGAGTCCCCCTTGGGAACATGCACATTTCTCACCGGTCCTACCCTGTGTTGGCCCGGGCTTCCATTATGACTGAAAGCCCTACCCCTGGGTACAGAGATAAAATGGTGTGCTGCTAGAACCCGAGCGTGAGAAGCAGGCCCTCCTGCTTAGGGTATTCATTTGGAAATTTTATATTCAGAATAGAGGCTGGCGCCTGAGCTGCCCTTAGGGAATCCAGACAAGGACTGGGCTTCCTTCCTTCCCTGTGTCCCCCTGAACACCTTAGCATTCTGGCCGGACTCCATATTTGTCCCCAGACTCTGCGCACCCTGGGTGCCACTGGGCCCAGCTCCTTGCCCGGGGCCTTCACCTCCAGTGCACTCCCACATTTTGGGTTCCTTCCCGGTGTTCACGGAACGTCATCGCAGGGCCCTTGGGAGTGCCTGGTGCACAGGCATGACCATTCCTTTGCCGGCCTCCCTCCTCCCTTCCCGTTTCCGTGGCTGAGCTGCCTCTGTAGGCTGTAGCCCAGGGCATGCAGAGTGGGGAGCAGGGGGGCCTGTGAGCTCCAGCCCGCCCCTTCCCTGTAGTGGACCCGCCCCGGGGCCTGGGGCAACTGAAACCACGGAGGAGGAAGCGGTAATCAGGAACTGGGCTGCCCTGGGTTCTGGGCCTGAGTTGGTCCACTGCCGCCCTGCCCCGGGAGCAGCTGCCCACGAAAAGGTAACTCCACCTTCAAGGTCCAGGGAGGTTACGTGGGGGCATGGGCAGGGGGGTGGCAATGGGTGTGGCACCGGAAAGGGGGCCAGGCAGATGTTCTGGAGCCTGAAACCTGTTGGGGTGGGGCTAGGAGCTTTGGGAAGGGGCAGGAGAGCCCAGTGACAGGATTCCTTCAGTGGCTCCCTGACCCCCTGCAGTGCGGCAGACTTAGCGTTGTTGAGGACCCTGGTGCAGGATCGGAAACATCCGGGAATAGTGTGGGTGACGGACCCTAGTACGGATCTCCAGTCTGGTTCCTGGAAAAGGGACCACTGGCTCCGGGACCTGGCCTGGCTCACAGGAAGCGGCAAGGGCCGTCCGCAGCGCAGGACTGCTGTCTGTACCTACTGGGTTTTCTGCTGGGCAGGACCCCACCCATGGAGGCCTGCCTCTAGCCCTCTTTGACCTTCCTAGCCCTTGGCCTCTTTTTCCTGCCCCTCCATCTCCAGCTGCTGCTTGGTCTCCACTAAATGACCCGGTCTCTGTCCCCAGGACACCATCATGGGCTTCTCTTCAGAGCTGTGCAGCCCCCAGGGCCACGGGGCAGTGCAGCAGATGCAGGAAGCTGAGCTTCGATTACTAGAGGGCATGAGGAAGTGGATGGCCCAGGAGGGTCAAGAGTGACCGGGAGTATGCGGGACTGCTGCACCACATGTCTCTGCAGGACAGCGGAGGCCAGGGCTGGAGGCAGCGGCCCCGACAGCCATGTCAGCCAGGTGAGCTTCCACTCACGTTCGGTCTTCTACCCCAAACCCTTAGAGGTGGGGTTGGAGACGCGGCGGCGAGTCCAGGCTTGAGGGCCGTTGTCACGTTCTTCCTGCTTCCCCAATCCCACAATGTGTCACAGTCCTGGGCAGAGATAACAAGCCAGACGGAGAACCTGAGCCGGGTGTTTGCGGCAAACATGCCGAAGATCTGAACTCGGGGCCCTTGAGCAAGCTGAGTGTGCTGATCCGGGAGCGGCAGCACCTGAGAAAAACCTACAACGAGCAGTGGCAGCAGCTGCAGCAGGAGCTCACCAAGGTAGGTGTGCCCCTGAGGAGGACTCTGTCCCAACAAGGAGTTGCACAAGAATGCCTACAGAAGCAGAAGTCACTGACCACGAGGCCTGGCTCCAGGATGGCCGGCCTGGGCCTGCCGAAGCTTTCCTCTTTTTCTCCCCCAGCTTAGGCTAACCTGCTGCAGGGCCTGTCCATGCACTGTCTGTGCCTGAGCAGAGTGCTGAAGTCCAGAAGGGGTGAGGCTAGCCCTTGCCTCAGAGGAGCTCAAAATCAGTGCAGCTCAGGGGTGAGGGACTTTAGGGTGGGCCAAGGTCTGCCTTTGGCTTAGAGTAGCTCCTCTCAGGGCCCCAGAGGAGGCAGAGTCCTGCCTAGGTCTGAACTCCAGCAGTTCTTCAGCTATGGGCTGGGGGGTATGTACTTTGTCTCCCATTCACCTGCTCAGCCTCCGGCACCACACCCCCTTTTCATCGTCTCAGAGCTAGGTCTTACCATGGACCCACAGCACCCCCTTGTGGCCCACCTTCCTTTCTAACTCCCTTCCAATTCAAGGGTCTGCTCATTTGCCCTCCCATCACTTAGGCCTCTATGTTTCAATGACAGAATGGAGGTAATTTCTGCAGAGACTCTATGGCCTACATGCCCGAAATATTTACTAGCTGGCCCTTTAAGACTGGCCAAGCCTAGGAATTTAATCGGTTGCAGATGGAGAAATTGAGGTTCCTAGAAGCAAAATGAAGCTTGCACACTATGTCCCAGCGCCCAAGCAAGAGAACTGGGATGAGAACTCCAGTCTGTGCCGCCACCTAGTGTTCCTATTACCGAGAACATGCTGTGCAGGACGCCATGCAAAATACAAATGTTGGGAAGTTGAAGAGTCGCACAAGCCAGGTGTAGTGGCCTGTAACCCTTGCACTCAGGCAACAGAGGCAAGAAAGGTTGCGGGTTATCCTGGGCCATAGAGCAGGACCCTGTCTAAGAAACAAAAAACCAAACGTGAGGATGGCTCAGCACGTGAAGGGCACTTGCTGCCAAGGACTGTCGTCGCCCCGAGTTTGGTGCCTGGAATCCACAGGGTTTAAGGAGAGAACCAGCCCTTACAAGTTACCTCCGACTTCTACATGTGCGTTATAAACGTATGTACACCTTCACACATGCATACACACACCCTAAGCCATAGTTTCTCAAGAGCTGGAGAGATAGCTTAGTGGTGAGGAGTGCTTACTGCTTGCTCAGAGGATCAGAGTTCGGATCCCAGGACCGTCCATCAACCAAAGTTCACAAACACCTATCACTTTAGTCCCAAGAATCTAAGAGCCCCTTCTGGCTTTGGTGGGCGGGCCTTCCTGCACACATACACACATAAATAACATGAAACAAATCTTTAAGATAATAATAATTCGAGTATGAAGTTGAGTGTCATGGCTCACCTCTGTAATCCCAGCACTCCAGAGATAGGACTGCCACAAGTTTGAGGCCAGCCTGGGCTACAGAGTGAGTTCTGGGTAAACCTGGACTAGAGTGAGACCCTACCCGTCAAAAACAAAACAAAAAAAACCCAAAAAAACCATGATCAGGAAAAGGAAAAGAATTTCAATACCATAACAACACAACAGGAAGCCAAGCCTGGGGGCGCTTCTGATTGTGGAGTCAAGTGAATACACATACCTGAGGCCAACTCTACCTGCCACCCAGGCAGTTGGAGCCTGTACCAAATTCCTCCCTGGTCCCTTCAGCAGCATGTCTATAACTCAGCTCCTCTGACCCTGGCCTAAAGGGCCAGCTTCCCCAGAAGTCTCCAGACTCCTCCAGAAGGATGAGTTTGGCCAGCCTGGCAGCCTGGGTAGCAGAACCCTTCCAAGGCTTTACCTCAGCTAGGACTCCCAAGACTCGAGGACCTGCCTCCCATACTGACCTCCTTTTCTTCCAGACCCACAGCCAGGACATTGAAAAGCTAAAGAGCCAGTACCGGACCCTGGTTCGCGATAGTGCCCAGGCCAGGCGCAAGTACCAGGAAGCCAGCAAAGGTTTGGGAGCTTTCCTTCCTGGCAGGGAGAAAAACCCAGCCCAGTAGACCTGCCTGCTGGTGCCCAGGGGGTGGGGCTGCTGCTTGGGCCTCTGGAATGTCAACCTCCCCTGAGCGTGTGTGTATGTGTGTGTGTGTGTGTGTGTGTGTGTGTGTGTGTGTGTGTGCGCGCGCTGCGCCAGGGCGCGCGCGCATGCTCATGATGTGCCTCCCCCAACACACACACCTCTTACAGACAAGGATCGAGACAAGGCCAAAGACAAGTATGTGCGCAGCCTGTGGAAGCTCTTTGCCCACCACAACCGCTACGTCCTGGGTGTGAGGGCCCGCACAACTGCACCATCAGCACTACCACCAATTCATTGCTGCCCCCAGTCTGCTGCAGTCACTGCAGGACTTGCATGAGGAGATGGCGGGCATCCTGTAAGCCCACAGCCCCCATTCCATCCTAACCAACAGTAAAACATAAGACTGGAACTGGCCGGGGCGCGTGGGGGCGAGGTACTAGGCCTGGAGATACAGACTTGGGGTCAGCAGCACATCAATGCCTTATGTATTTATTGGGGACCTAGTTCCGAGTACTTCCTGGGTGCCAGGCACTGCCCACAGAATCTCAGTGGATCGGTGTTTCCACCGCCTGTGTGCCCTATAATCTTACCAGGAAGCAGAAGGCCAAGGAGGCCTTAAATGATTTGCCTAAGGTCATTTCACTTGCAAATGAGCAGAGGTGTGTGTGGTGTGGTGGGGGGTGGCGGGGTTGGGGGGCGAGTCCCTCTAACCTAGCATTGCTGCTGAACCCGTGCCCTAGGCTGAGTTGCCCTCCTTGCCCAGCCAGAGGCCCTCTGACTCGATGGTTCTATGGGGTGGGGGATGCAGGAAAGGACATCCTGCAGGAATACCTGGAGATTAGCAGTCTGGTGCAGGACGATGTGGCTATCCATTCACCGGGAGCTGGCTGCGGCTGCTGCCCGTATCCAGCCTGAGTTTGAGTACCTAGGCTTCCTTCGACAGTATGGGTAAGCCAGCCCTTATCCCCGAACCTTCTGGGCACCAGGGACTTCTGACCTAGTCGCTGAAGGGCCTTGTCCACCCACAGGTCCACCCCTGATTGTCCCACCATGTGTCACTTTCGATGAGTCACTTCTTGAAGAGGGTGAACAGCTGGAACCTGGAGAGCTGCAGCTGAATGAGCTGACGTTGGAGAGCGTGCAGCACACGTGTGTGGTAGTTTGGCAGACTACGTGTGTGGATGTGGGCAGGGAACCCTTAGCTAGGTGGCCAGACTAGGTTGGCTTTGTTGGGGTGCATGTGGCGGCGGGGAGGCGGGCAACAGCTTTCACTCTCCTGTCCTTGGGTGCAGGCTGACCCTCCGTGACGGATGAACTGGCTGCGGCCACCAGAGAGGTGCTGAGCCGGCAGGAGATGGTCAGTCAGCTGCAGAGCCAGCTGAGAAACGAGGAGCAGAACACACCCACCCCCCGGGAGCGGTGAGCAGGCCCCCACCTGCAGCAGCCTCCTGGCTCTCCCTCCACCGTGCGGGCAAAACTTCAGACTGAGTTGTTCCTCTCTGCTCTCTGCTGCAGGGTGCAGCTTCTGGGCAAGAGGCAGGTGCTACAAGAGGCAATACAGGGGTTACAGGTAGCGCTGTGCAGCCAAGACAAGCTCCAGGCCCAGCAGGAGCTGCTGCAGAAGAAGATGGAGCAGCTAGGCACCGGCGAGCCCCCCGGCTGTACCGCTCCCTCCAGGAAGATCGCCATTCCCACCTCCTCCGCGGTGAGATGCCCTGCCGCCACCCCTGCCCTCCCTTGCCAGCCTACCCCGCAGGGGCTGTGCTCCTCATTTTTACCCCTCCCCCTCCCTAAGCCTGGCCACCCGCTGACGTCTGTCCCTGGCCTCAGGAGCAGGAGCGAGAGGGGGGGAAGGACACCCACACTGGAGATCCTTAAAAGCCACTTCTCTGGAATCTTCCGCCCCAAGTTCTCTGTGAGTAGTACGAAGGCTGAGCCTCTGCCTCTGCCCCATCTAGTTAGGCCAGGCCAGGAGTCTCAGGCATGCTCCGCAGACTTCCACGCCCTAAATGGAAGGACCTACCCATAAAACTGCTTTCATGGGGCAGGGGGTGGGGGGGAGGGGAGCATCCTTTTCTTCCTTGGGGTTCCAGGCTGCAGATACCTCCGAGCCCTGCCAGTCCCCGTGTCCTCCCCTCAGCACCCTTGTCAGCTGCAGGGCCCCTGCAGCGTTGGCTACTCCATTGCTCTGTTCTGCTCTGGGAGTGACCGGGAGGCCTACAGTGCGGAGGAGAGAAGTAACTAACTTGGTTGGGGTCCGCTAGCCTGGGCGTTCCCATCCCAGTTGTGCTCAGAGTGAGCTTGAACCAGGCCTCTCTGGTGTCACACGGATAGCTGTAAGGAGGAGAGCGTATGAGACAGAGAGACCCTCCACTAGCCCAGTGTTCTCACCCCTATGAGCCAGCCCAAGGACCCCCTGCACGCTCCTTCCAGATCCCTCCGCTTCTCCCCTATGAGCCAGCCCAGGGACCCCTGCACGCTCCTTCCAGATCCCCTCCACTTCCTCCCCCTATGAGCCAGCCCAGGGACCCCTGCACGCTCCTTCTAGATCCCTCCGCTTCTCCCCTATGAGCCAGCCCAGGGACCCCTGCACGCTCCTTCCAGATCCCTCCACTTCTCCCCTATGAGCCAGCCCAGGGACCCCTGCATGCTCCTTCTAGATCCCTCCGCCACTGCAGCTCGTCCCCGAGGTGCAGAAGCCCCTCTATGAGCAGCTGTGGTACCACGGGGGCCGTCCCACGGGCAGAGGTGGCTGAGCTGCTAACACATTCCGGGGACTTCCTGGTTCGGGAGAGCCAGGGCAAGCAGGAGTATGTGCTCTCGGTGTTGTGGGACGGCCAGCCCCGGCACTTCATCATCCAGTCCTCAGACGTGAGTGGGGCCGGGGGAACCCTGAGCCTTCTGGACCCTACCCCCCCTCCTCCTTCCCCTCTCCAGGGAAAGGGACCTAGACAACTTTGAGAGAGTAGGGAGTAATGCTGCGTCTTAGGTGCCTCTTCTCTAACTCGGAGGGAGCCACAGAGAAGGAAGATAGTGGGGTGCCATGTACCCCACTCCACTGCCTTCTGCTGTGTGTCCTAGAGAGTCCCTGTCCCTCCCCCCAGGGCTCAGGCCCTCCTTACCAAAGGAAGCTGCTGACCTCATCTCTCCCCCCACACGCCCACCCACCCCTGCCTCATAGAACCTGTACCGGCTGGAAGGAGATGGCTTTCCCAGCATCCCTTTGCTCATCGACCACCTGCTGTCCTCCCAGCAGCCCCTTACAAAGAGGAGCGGTGCTGTCCTGTACAGGGCGGTGCCCAAGGGTGAGCCTGTGGCCAGCCTGGCCCATGTAGGGGTTTGGACCTCACAGGTCAGCCCCAGCTCCCACCCAGTCTACATTCAGAGCGAGCGTGAAGTGAGCATCACCCCGCAAGGTGGTCAGTCTCAGTTCGGGATGTCTTCCCACCTGCGGGCCATATATACAAGCCTGATCCCCAGATTATCTGAGTGTGTCCTGATAGGACCAACCCTACCAGCCAATGTGATGCACTGATGCTCCAAAACAGATGTAGCGTCAGCAGGAGAGGTATTCAGGCCTTCATGGGGCGCATCCTGTTGGCCGACTCCCAGCTTCTCTTCTCAGGACAAGTGGGTGCTGAAGCATGAGGGACCTGGTGTGTGGGCGAGCAGATTGGAAGGGTAGGTAGCCCTGCCAACCCTGGGGTTCTCCAGCCGTCTGGGGTCTACCTGTTACCCTTCCTCACCAGCTTCTCTCCCAGACCCCCTCACCAAGTCCCCCCTTGGGTTTCACCTCCAGAGTCCTAGAGGGTCTCCTTGACTCAGTGGGTCTCCAGCCTGGACCCTGGCTCCTTCCTCAGAAAACAGCGAATAACTAGGCCCCCTAGAAGCCAGCACCCCACCCCCCAGCACTTGCCCACTCAAGGGCTTCTCACCAAGCACCTCTGTTAATGTAAAATACCCGTCACTTCCCAATCAGAATGCTTTTCCAACCCAAAGAAAAGTGATTTCTGGATTTCCCCATGTCACTTCTCAGAGAAGGTGGCACAGGTCACTTTTGTGTCCCCTGCTAGGGGGAGAATTTCTAGAGAGCTAGGGTGACAAGTCGGGCATGAACAGTGGGGACAAGATGGGTTGTCCCCCTTGAGGTGAGAAAGGTCAGCAGTACCAGGAAGTTGTGTTATGAGCCCAGGACGGTTTCAGGGGAACTTCGGAGAAGTGTTTAGTGGGCGCCTTCGAGCAGACAACACCCCAGTGGCTGTGAAGTCTTGTCGAGAGACGCTCCCACCTGACCTTAAGAGCCAAGTTTCTTCAAAGAAGCGAGGTGGGTGATAAAATAAACGTAACTAGGGGCTGGAGAGATGGCTCAGAGGTTAAGGGGCACTGCGCTGCTCTTCCAGAGAACCTGAGTTCAGTTCCACAGGGTGGCTCAAAACCATCTATAATTTGATCTGGTGCCCTCTTCTGGCATATAGGCAGAACACTGTATACATAATAAAATCTTTAAAATAAAATAAGTATGACTAAAGTTTCCTTGTACAAGAGGGTTTCTCTGTGCACGGCCTGGCATTTAATCCTCCAAAGTTCTCTCAGACCTGAGTAGCACTCATAATGCAAAGAGGTACTGACCAGGAGCCCCCCTGCAGTCACGTGCCCAGGGCTGCTGGCATTCAAGGTCATGCTTTTCTTGAGGTGAGGGTGGGGGAGTTAGGGGCAGGTGCAGAAGGCTGTGAGCACAGATCCCACACGAGCCTAAGCAGCAGAGTTCCACAGGATCCTGAAACAGTACAACCATCCCAACATTGTGCGTCTCATCGGGGTCTGCAACCCAGAAACAGCCCATCTACATTGTCATGGAGCTGGTGCAAGGTGAGATGGAGGTCTGGTCTCCAGGGTGAGGGCTCGGCTTGCCCGGTGTCTCCCACCAGACTCAAGGCTACCCTCACCTCCAGGGGGCGACTTTCTCACCTTCCTCGCGGACAGAGGGAGCTCCCGCTTGCGGGTAAAGACTCTGCTGCAGATGGTCGGGGGAACGCAGCTGCTGGCATGCGGAGTACTTGGAAAGCAAGTGCTGCATCCACCGGTAAGTGGACTGCAAGCCCTGGCAGACCGTGGCATGGTGGCCACCAGGCATCAGCTCCCAGGCTGAATTGGTCTCTAGTGCCTTGTGTTTGAGAGTTACACTGTATGTGAGTGTACGCCCGGTGCATAGGCTACATGTGTGCCCATGGGTTGTGGAGGCCAGAGATCAGTGTTAGG